TACCCTTTTCTCAACTACTAAGACATTTCTCCAGCCCTAGGATATCCCGATTTTTTAAAAATTATTATCTTGTGTGTGTGGGTGTTTTGTCTGCATGTATGTCTGTACACCTTGTGGCTGCCTGGTGCCTCATGGGCCAGAAAAGGCATCAGACCTCCCTGGAACTGAAGTTACAGACAGTTGTGAACCACCATGTGGATGCTGGTAACTGAACCCAGCTGGAAAAACAGCCAGTTTAAACTGTTGAGCCATCTAGAGAGGCCCAAAAATCTCCATTCTTGATTCCCATTTTTTTCCTTCTTCTTGCAGGCACATAAGCAGGTTTCTTGTCACATTCAATGACTATTCTTTTGCATCTATGAGTTATAAAATATGTATTATTTAAAATCTGCATTTTAAAATTTACATGAGTCAAATTATCATCAATATTAAATTTAATTATGCTTTTCACATAAATTCTATCAAACATTTGTTGTTTTTGTTTATTTGTTTAGATAATAAAAATCTACGAATTATGCTTCAAAGGGCTTTTAGAATATAGAAAGACAAAGTCAACCAGAATAGGAGATGATAAATTTAGGGTAGCATCACCTCAGTTAGTTTGAGTGTTATCAGATTAACATCCCATTCAAAGAAGACTTTAGGAAATGAGAAATATCAAAATTGAGTCCTAAGATGAAAAATGTACGGTCTGTACATCTACGCTGGAATTTAAGAATATATGTCTTAGCTACTTTTCCTACTACTCTGACATTTTTTTCTGATCAATCAAGCAACTTAAGGGAGAAATGGTTTATTCTATTTCAAAGTTTGAGGGTACATTCCATTATGGGGGGGAGGCACAACAGTAGGAACTTGAAACAGCTAGAAAAATTGCATCCACAGTTATGAAGCAGAGAGCAATACTTGGTTGTCCATCATAGTCAAATGGCAAGATCCTGTTGCTAAAGGCACTACACACTTGGTTGCAGGCTATAGACAAATTAGTCTTGAACTAACCAGGAAACCTCCATGATAGTTAGCTTTCTCAGCACCAGGAGGTTCTATGTAGCCTACTGGAGGAAAACTATCAGTGGTCGTACCCAGCGCTGGGCCCTGCTTTCTACAATACTTAACTGCCAAATGAAATACGCCCAAGAGTGCAGTAGTGGCATGACTGTTGTAGGAGTAACCATCTGAATTCTGATTGGGTTTGAGACCTGTTCTCTGGAAGAGAATTCACTCCAGGTACTATAAATTTGGTCAAAATCCCATGCCTGGGAAGGCTTAAGGTCCTAAAGAGAACCTACTAGTGTTGTTTTGCTGTATCACTAACAGCTCTCAAGAGCTGAGAAATGCCAACACTGTGCCTGCTTATAAGCTGCAGTACCAGCTGCTGCCAAGGCCCAAGGAATCCTGGCTTCCAAGGCCTACACAAGAGCTGTAACATGCTGCTACCGGAGGCATCTGCTGAAGTGTATTGCTAGAAGCCACCTCTTGTTGCAGCTCCACAAATGGCAACTGTCAATGAAAGAGGAACAGAAGGGCTAAGGTGCACTTAAAGAGTTCATCTTTGCCTGCCCAAAGTGGATTCTATCCAGATAGAAATAAAGGGACCCAGTATGGCTAAAGTCTCACCCCATGCATATGCATGGACACACAAGTCTGCACATGCCCGCATCCCCCAACACACACACACACACACACACACACACACACACACACACACACACACCCCTCAGAGATCTACCACAGTATTCCAGGGAAAAGAGAACATTAGCCAGATCCGGGAATTTCCTATAACTGCATACCCACATTCATTGCTCCATTCAAAAAGTTCTGTGACTTAAAGTTAAGTTACTTGGACAAGGAAAAATGGAGTAGCTACCCAACAAAGACCAGATTCCCCAGGGCTGCAGACAAAGCTGTGTATCTAGAGACTTGTGGAAGGGTAAAGGGAAGGGCACTCTGGTAGTTACCAGTCCTCAGTGGTCTGTTTTAGTGGTGCACAGGCTGCTGATGTATGTATGTATGTATGTATGTATGTATGTATGTATGTATGTATATTATTGGATGTTTGGGGTTATGTAATGTAACCCAACAGAAAATCTCAACATGTGTCTTTTGAGTTCCTTTTCCCCATGAATAGTTAATTCATCCCTTAATTGTTAAGATATTAAAATCCTCTGCCCCCCCCCCCCCCCAGAGAGTGTGGAAGATTGCAAATGGTACCTTTACCTGAAGGGCAAGAGAGAAAACCTTTCTCCAAAGGACAGAGGTGGTAAAGATTCTTATACCACACTAAATGGCTTCAGCACGAGACTGTGTGACTTCTAAAATTAGTATGTTTTAAAAGTAAATTAAGAGAAAGTGAGCCTAGAGGGAGTTTCTTTCCTTGATAACATTAGGAAATGTGGCCTAAGACAGCCACCAAAAGGTAAGATATCTTTAATGTCTGTGAACCATGGGTCCATTTTTTTTTTTTTGTTTAGTTATAAAAATAACATTTTTCCAACTCGTGTCAGGGATGAAGCCAGATAGATACTGGATAAAGTAGGTAATAATCATACTGTTGCAACACAAAAGCCTTGTACTAAACTCAACTTCAGTTTGCACAGAGGTGAGGACGTTTCGGACAGCCGAAATATCCTGGGATTGTCTTGGAACTAAGCGACTAATTCCTGTTGAGTTCTTTTCTTCCAGGTTTAAAACAACAAATTTGACCCCAAGTTGGACATTCTTTAGATCATTTGTACTTGGATGACGTGCTCAAGCAAGAACTACAACTCCCAGCAGTACCGGCGAGAACGAGAATGCAACTTCCGGGGCGCCGCTTTCTCCCCTCCCCACCCCCACCCCCACCCTAATGGACAAGCAGTCACTACTGGGTCCAGCTTCACTTTGTTCAAGCTGATAATTGGCCCTTGGAAACGAGTCCCACTTCGCGAGGAAGAGCTCAAGACCCGGATGAGAGGAAGGCGGGGTTACCACAGAGAGCGGGAGGCGGACTCTGCGGCGCGGGCAGCGCGTGACGTCATGTCCTCTGGGCGGGGCCTCGCGATCCCGCGCAAATTGAAAGGTCCCTGGCTGCCCTTGCAGCATTGGCGGCTTGCTGGCGTTCTGTGCCGAGGTGAGTGGTCCCCTATGCCGGTGGCGGGCGGTGTCAAGAGGAGCGGGCTGTGAGGAGGAAAGTGAGATCTCCGCGGCTCCGATCCACGCGTCCTCCCTCGCTTGGCGTTGGACTCGGGTCTCTGGGAAAAGAACGCGAGCGTGGAGCCTGCCTTGGGCGCCCGTAGGCAACCGACTTGGCCTCCACGTCTCCGGTTTTCCCAGTGTCCACAGGTCCACTCGCCTTAGCGACGAGTTTCCTTTGTGTGTGTCCTTTCAAATGCAGGTTTGAGGAACCGCAGCTCCTGGAATGGACTTGTGGTCCATGCCTGTTCGTTCCCGGGAGACTGGACTACGGTGAAGCGGCGGCTGCTGTTACCTCGGGTTCCACGGGCGATCTCCTGGGGTTGGTGTGCCATATGGCTCTCAGTCATTCCTGTGCTAAGGAGGAAATATTTACTCGAGATTTACTTAGCCTAGAAGAAATTTACCGAAGTTTCATAAAATGTAATTATGCCCTTTTGTTCCGCAGCATGCACGAACACACATTTTAGAGATGTTGTCTTTAAAGGTAGTGGTCTCTTTGTTTTACTCAAATCGTAGCTGCATCCAAATTGAATGATGTTTAAAATTCAGAAGTCATGCCCTTCTAGGAAATCATAGTTACAGGGCGTGGCCAGAACCTCTTAAGTTACAGGACAAGAGCCTTGCTGTTTTCCTATGGTGTCAAAAGGGCACCGCTGGCTTCTTATCCTGTAGTGAAAACATGATCTTGGGTCTGGAGAGCCAAGTGCCTTTCCCCGTAATCTGAATGGAGAATCCCAGGAAGCTCAGCTAGAGGCCCACTTGGCAGGCATATGCAGCTCAGACAACGAAAAGACTGTGTTGGTCTCCATATGCTCCCATTTAAACTCTAATACACATAAAAAATGAATGCTGAGAGTGGATAAGAGCACTTAGTTAGAGTCCCCAGCACCCCTATTAAAACCCCATGTGGCTGTGAATGCTAGTAACCCCAGCATTGGGAGACAAAAATAGTGGATCCCCAAAACTCATTGGGCCTAGCTGGTTCAGTAATATACCTTGCCTCAAGGTAATAGGCAAAGCAATAGAGGAAGATACCCAATACCTTGCTCTGGCTTTTGCATGTACACCCACACACCCACACACCAAACACAAATAAAAAAACGTGAACTTTGATGGAAATACCAAGCAACTGCTGGGATTGAAGTGAGGAGGACTCGTTGCTTTGAAAGGGCTGGCAGCTACAGGATTACCATGTAAGGGGCTAGAAGCTGTCTTTGCACAGCAAACATGTTTCCATACTTTAATACAGCCTTTAGTGAAGTGAGGATGATGAAACTGTCCTAGACTCCACCATGACTATTACTTTTTTTGGAGTAATGCATTCAGATGGTGTCATATAAAAGTACAGCTCCATTTCCATAATTCTCATTACTTTTCACTTGAAATGTCTGTCTTTCTCCTAGCTTGAGTTTCTACACTGCAGCTTTGAATACAGCCCTTTAATGCCTTTTTGTAAGGGTCAATATAATGCCATAGCATGCACAGTTTTGTAGGCTTTCAACACTATCTTTTTGAAAGAGACTTAAAGTTTTAATGCCTTCTGTGTGCCTAGGACTGTGTTAAGAGATGGGAGCCCAAGTTAGGATTCTAAGTATAAAAGTGTTTTGGAAAAGATAACCACCAAGAAACTCCCCAATGGTGCTCAGGTTAGTGTTGGTGATTAAAGAATGAAATTCTAAGCTACAGAAGTTGGCAGGGACAACACTCGTTATCAGCTATTAGCTTCTGTGCTAGGCTCCAGGCTGGGTTTATTTTTCTAAAACTTTTTGGTAAATAGGTTTTGCTATAACGTTGCTGTCTTCCCTCCTTTGTTTTATGTAGTTGACTTGGCACGATGGGGATTCAGGGACTACTCCAGTTCATCAAGGAAGCTTCTGAACCCATCAATGTGAAGAAGTACAAAGGACAGACAGTTGCTGTGGATACCTACTGCTGGCTTCACAAAGGAGCTATCTCCTGTGCTGAAAAATTAGCCAAAGGGGAACCTACAGATAAGTGAGTTTGGAAGTCTATTAGTTGGTTTAGGAAGTAGAGCGATTTGGTGCTTTATGTTTTTTTGAGACAGACTTCAGTATTTCACACTGGCCTGGAACTTGTTGTAGCCAAGGATGGCCTTGGACTTCTTCTGATCCTGCTTCCTGGAGGAGTCCTACCATATGCTGGGATTACAGGCTCATGCCACCAACGGCAAGTTTCATGTAGTGCTGGGGACGGAGCCCTGGGCTTCATGCATGCTAAGCAAGCACTCTGTGAACTGAGCTAAATTCCCAGAATCTGGGTGTGCTTTTTTTTTTTTCTTGTTGTTGTTGTTGTTGTTGTTTTTCCTGTCATTGTTTCAATAAATTCTAGCATTTATTTATAAGGATGGGCATGTAGAATATTGCCAGATTTTCTTTTGTGGTACAGACCCAACTTTTGTTCATGGTAAGAAGTCAGAGTAGCATGATGTGGACAGGCAAAGTTTAAGCATTATCTTCTTTATTCTTTGCTTAAGAGAAGCCTTTGTTTTTCCCCTGAGATAACGCTTTAACAATGTTTTCAGAATCCATGGTGTTTTCCCACAACACACTGCTAATCTCCATTAGCAAAATGAGGCAAAGGGACAATATGTTCTGGCCAAAGATAGTGGCTCCTGTTGTCATCCAGTCGGAATGTGGTCAGGTTGGTCAGGTTCACATTGATTCATATAGAAAACTGCTGCTTTTACCCCTCCCCCTTGTGTATAATTGTTTTTACTTTCTGAGAATAAAGCTTTAAGCTTTTCAAAAAGAACAGCCTGCATTTTTTTTTTTTATTACTGCTTTCTGTGATTGTTTTTTAGAGAGGGGGGGGGTCTTATGTAGCCCAGGATAACCCTGAGTTCTGCTCCCACTTCACCTTCCCAAATGCTAGGCTTGTGGGACTATACTGCCACACCTGGTGTCTGAATTAACTTTTCTATCTACTGCTGTAATAAAACACCATGACCAAGCCAACTTATTTCAGGGGGCATGAGGCAGAGAGAACTAACAGAATGACATGGTGTGGGCTTTTAAATCCTAAAGCCTGCTCCCATTGACACACCTCTTCCAACAAGGCCACACCTCCCAATCCTTCCCAAATAGTGTAGCAGCTGGGGACCAAGTATTCAAATACATAGCCATGTGGGCCACGCCCATTAAAGCAACCACAATTGGCTTTCTTTGAATAGTTCCTTAGCCAAGAAAACTTATTTTCTAGATTTAGATGTCTTTTGTGTGTGTGTGTGTGTGTGTGTATTGTTTTGTATTCCTATACGTTTGTGTACCACGTGTGTGTCTGGCACCTGAGGAGAGAACACTATATGAAGCTAGAGTTACAGGCAGTTGTGAATGCTGGGAATTGAACCCAGGTCTTGGAGCAGCATTCGGTGGAAGAGCAACTTTGATCACTGAACCATCTCTTCAGCCTTTGATTCAAATTTTTGATTAATAGGAAGGATTTTTAAAATACAGGCAATACCCTTTATTTATTATCCGAAAAGTGAGAGATGAAATCCACAGGGCCCACTCTATGATACTCACTTATTAAACATTGATGGAACTAAAATGCTTAATATCTGCTATGGGTTTAAAATTTCCCCTGACAACTAAGAAGCCATATTTGCTTTACACTTTCTTCCTGCCAGGGATAGCAGAATTAGACAGAGATTTGGGGATAAGTTAATTATAAATGCTTGTGGTCACTGTACAGACTGATATCAATATGTGCCGACTTGGAAGTAAATGAGTGGGAGCTACCTGATGCTTTATGCTTTCCAGTTAGACAAGTCAATTGGCTTTAAAACATTACTTTTCCTTGTTTGCTTTTGTCTGCTCTTTGGTGTCCAATCAGTCTGTAGCCTCTGTTGTCTCATGTGCAGTGCTCTTGTCACTGTCCCCAGTAGAGAGTACAGCAAGTGGTCAGAGAAGTAACTATATTTGGTTCAAAAGCATAGCCTAAGTGCCACTGGGTCCTGGATATGGGAACAGTAATGACACGGTTTGCTGGGGTCTTTCCTCAGAAGCTCTGTGTCCAGCACCTCTGCCCCCTCAACTGTGAGTTGGCAGAGTTTATGTGTTGCCATAAAATGTTGTGAAACTCAGACACCCCAAGCACCATGTTGTTCCCACATTAACCGGGATATCATTGGTCCTGACAGACAGATAATACTGTCATGTCTCTTGCATATGATAAGGTATTGTAGGAGAAATCAAGTGTTCTTAAAACTTTTCAATAAGATTTGACATGTTTCAAGTCAGTTTTTTTTTTTAAATGGAATAAAAGACTTGGAACAACAGTAAAATATGAAAATCGAAAGATGTCAGAGCTTTTCAAATCTACAATAGAAAAAATTCTAGAGCAGTGGTTTTCAGCCTTTCTAATATAGTTCTTCATGTTGTGGTGACCCCCAACCATAAGCTTATTTTCATTGCTACTTCATAACTGTAATTTTGCTACTGTTATGAAGCGTAATGTAAATATCTGATATTTCCAATGGTCTTAGGTGACCCCTGTGAAAGAATCACTCAATCCCCCCCAGTGGGGTCATGACCCATAGGCCTAGAGAGTCAAATAACTTCCTAACTACTACATATTCCCTAATTACTTGCGGTGGGATTTGAACTGTCTATTTCCTTTGGAAACTTTAGCATCAAAAAGTCTTTCACAATCCTGTCATCTGGTCTTAAATAAAGAAAAAAAAAAAGTTTTTTTTTTTTTTAAGAGATTCAAAGCATGTAAGTGCATTTTCCATTTTCTTTTTTTCTCCCTCTAGGTATGTAGGATTTTGTATGAAGTTTGTCAATATGCTGCTGTCTCATGGGGTAAAGCCTATTCTTGTCTTTGATGGCTGTACCTTACCTTCTAAAAAGGAAGTGGAGAGATCTCGAAGAGAGTAAGTTGACTTCATACTTAATATCTGGCTTGACTGTGATATGAACAGATTCTCTTAGATGGTCTATTTGTATTAGATAAAACATTGCTGTGGAAAAGTCTTTTATCAGTCACCTTGCATACATTATTAATCACTTGCTTAGCTGAAGTGGTAATGCTCTGAAATCCTAGCACATGGGAGGTAGTGGCAGAAGGGTCCAGAGTTCTAGGTCATCTACTTAGTGAACGTGAGGCTAGCCTGAGCTACATGAGACCCAGTCTCTAAAAAACAAAAACAAAACAAAACTGATTTACTCTTGTCTGGACTGACATGCCAGCACATCTGATGTGCAATTGTGCACAACTCTTTCATATAATTGCAGTTTTACTATTACTTCTTAAGTCTGCTTATATTTCTGTTTAGTCATGTTTTTCCCTTTTCAGGAGACGACAAAGCAACCTTCTTAAAGGGAAGCAGCTTCTTCGAGAGGGCAAAGTGTCAGAAGCCCGAGAATGTTTCACCCGCTCTGTCAACATTACCCACGCCATGGCCCACAAAGTAATAAAAGTGAGTTAGCAAGAAACAACAGTGCCACTGGACAAATTCATTGGGATATTGCATACAAAGATGCAAAGGGCAGGTTTCCCTTTGGTAGATCTGTATTTAACCACGAACTCACTCTCATTCTTCTTTGAATGATGGCCAGAGATGTCTCACTGACTCGATGATTGAGGGGCTCTGCAGAACCCCTGTAGTCTGCCCCTGCTGAGAAGACTCTTAAGTACCCCTTACCCAGTCTTAGTAGTCCCAGCCCCCACTTTCCTCCTCCTAGGTTTTTGCTGAAACTTCTTCTTAAAGTTAGGGTAAAGGCAGGGTCTGCTCTGTGTATCCTGCTGTCCTGCCATCTATTTCTTAGCTAAAATGAGAATCCTGAGGCTTAGCTCAAGGTTCTTTGTCAATTAAGTTAGAAATTTTTTGTCATTTGAGATAATGTATTTGGTAACTCACCACCACTACCAAATAGATAATGGGATTTCTTCAAATTTATAAATTGATGCCTTTTTTTAGGTGTGTGGGTAAGTGGGTAGCAAGGTCTCTGTTATTTATCAGTGTGTAATCCACATGGCAGCTTCCAAGAATTCTCTTTCCTCACCTTCCAGTTTGCTGTAGTGGTGCTGGAATATAGGCTCTATTGGATTCATCTTTTTGTGGATTCTAGGGTCAAAACCAAGAATTTGTGTGGCCAGTGAGTTGTCACCCAAGCCTATAAATTGATTAAAACAAAATAGTATGAAATATATTACACCTAAAAGTAGATTCTACTTCAAAGAACATGGGTTTTGGAAAATGTTATTGGGGGGTGGGGGGCTGATGCTGGGCCTTTCTGATTTCACACTGTGCTGTTCTGGTAGCACGCTGCAAGCTCACTGTGGTCTCTCACAGGCTGCCCGGGCCCTGGGAGTGGACTGCCTGGTGGCTCCCTATGAAGCGGATGCTCAGTTGGCCTATCTTAACAAAGCTGGAATTGTGCAAGCTGTCATCACAGAGGACTCCGACCTCCTGGCATTCGGCTGTAAGAAGGTACTGAACTGCCGCTGCTGCACACAATACTGTAGAGAGAGTTGTATGTGTCAAGGAGCCCGAGACTTCCCCACCTGCAATACCTGTTTGTGTCACTTAATGTCTGTGCACTGCTTTATTGTTTGCACTTGGTTTGCTTTTTGGGGTTCTGGTAATAAACCCAGGGCTTTATACATGCTAGGCAAGTATCTGCCACTAAGCTGTGCCCAGCTTGTGAGTACTTCAGTGTTTAGCTTGACTTTTGGTTGACTCTCTGTGTGTGTGTGTGTGTGTGCGCGTGTGCGTGTGTGCGCGTGTGCGCGTGCGCGTATGTGTATGGAGTGGAACCTCTGACTGCTAGATGAGCAATCTTTACTCCCTGAGCCACAGCCCTCTTCGCTCTGTATACTCTGTGGCTGAGTCTCCCGAAGATGCCCAGCATGGGCTCAGACTCAATTCTATAGCCTGGGCGGGCTTTGGACTCTAGGTTCTCCTCTCTCCCAAGCCTGTATTACCAGGCCTGGCTAGTTTTACTTTCTAATATTAATAACATGTACCTTACTTTTCTTTTTATTAGATTTGGTAAAATAACTTATCCATGACAGGGATATTATTTAGTTATTTAGAAATAATGTATAAACCAATTTAATGGTAAATTTTATAATGATCTATTAAAGGGAGAACTAAGATATAAAAGCCATAGGTGGTTACCTTTTGATAACAGCTGTAATATGTAGATGCATCTTCATAGATTGCTAGGAGGATGCTCATTAGATGTTAACACTAGGTGATTGATAAGTGGGGTGTGGACAATTTCGGATTTTTAAAATTTCCTGCAATGAGCATATGTTGCTCCAATAACAAAGACTGACCACTTCGGACTGTAAAAGAAGGTAAGAAGAAAAGCTTGTATTTTGGAGCAAGAGTGATTCCTTCGAATGATTGTGTGATTTAGATAACAACAATGAAGTGGCCATCCTAGGTACTGACCATTTCCCTCTGTGTGAAGGTGATTTTAAAAATGGACCAATTTGGAAATGGACTGGAAGTGGATCAGGCACGCCTGGGCATGTGCAAGCAGCTTGGGGATGTGTTCACGGAGGAGAAGTTCCGGTACATGTGCATTCTGTCAGGCTGTGATTATCTCTCCTCCCTTCGTGGGATTGGCTTAGCAAAGGCCTGCAAAGTACTGAAACTGGCCAATAACCCGGATATTGTCAAGGTAGGAGGGACCCTCACTTAGGGAGTTCAAAACGGGTTTTAAATATTAATCTATAGCCTGTGAACCACTCCCAAGTGCAAGGATCCAGAAGTCAGGAGTTCTCATCATTAGTCGCCTTTCCTTGCACTTGGGAGTGGTTCTCAGGCCTTCTGAGAAATTTTGTGTGGTAGTAATTTTTGTTTAGGTGGATTATCGCTCTCAAAATACTGTCTTAGAAATATAAACAAAAATTTGAATATTAATTCATTACAACAAAAAGCTCTTTTATGTTAACAGAAATCACAAAACCTCTTACCCCTTCTGCATCATCTCAAACCCTCCCCCCCCCCCGTAAAAATTGTTTTGAGACAAGGGTTTTTTGAATTCTAGGCTGCCCTTGAACTTGCTGTGTAGCCAAGGATGTCCTTGAGCTCTTCAGTTCTAGATTTATTGTTTGTTTTCTGTATATAGACCAATCATAAATTTTTCAAGGTGTGAGAGGAAGTAGAATAGCAACTCCTTGATTAGGAAAAACAGAACCGTACCAATAAGGACACCCTGTAGTCCTGCTAATGTGTTCCCAAATCCCACCCATTGCCTTACGAGGGGAAGTGTCAAAGAGGTGGTGACTCGTAACTTCACATAGGTGTTACAAAAGGTGAGCCAAGAGAACTAAACTTAAGATCCCCGAAGTCTCATCCAGGTAATCCGCAAGTACACACCTACACATAAGATATATACATCCTGGAGGCTTGTTTCTTGTTTGGGTAGTAAAACATATAGGAGGTCTCTCAGTATGTCCAAAAGAAACATTAGCACTAGTTTTATGTAGAATGTAAGAATGTCCTTCTCCCATCGGGTTTATTATGAGTTACTAGTTTTATGTTAGCAAAAGTTACATGAAAAAGTAGGGGGTCTGGGACATATGTTCAATAGGAACCATCATAGAAGAACAGTGAAGTACCCATTTCTTGAGGTTTATTAGTATCCAAAGCTTGTCCAGTAAGAAAAAGTTTCAGTTTGTATATTTTCTGGCCCATTGTCATGGTCCCAGGCTTGAATATCCTTTCCTACTCTATCCCAAATTTCTAATTCTAAATTTCCCTAGTCTGGTAACCGAGGACTACATCCCTGTACAAATTGTAAGGAAACAATTAGTTATGAAGTATTAACTTCAACTCCCCCCCTTAAAAAGTTTGCTGCACTATGTCTATAAAGAGTCTCCTTTCTTTACACTCATCATGGCCCATGACTTCTCAAAACTTTCCCTTCTCATCTCGCTTGCTTGGTCTGTGTCTTACCCAGGGGATTCAAGAAACCCTTAGATGAAGTCCTGTCCTTAATGACAAAGGGGACTTAGCTCTGCAGGGTTCCTGTTCTGGGTGCTGATTGCCAAAAGGACTTTAAAAAGTATTTCTAGGAATAAGCACATGACATAAGTGTGATATTTTGCATTTTGGATGAACAGTGCAAACCTGGTTATGAGACCAGAGTTTTGGGTGATAGGGCGTGGTCGTTTTCTGGTAGAAGTTCTGTTGGTGTAGTTTAAAGCAACTGACTTTTGCCCTCCACTCTCTAGTGTCAGGTATGGAGTCAACACACTGCCTCCTCTTCAGGTTCACACGAAGCATTTTTATATCCATCATTAGGTTATCAAGAAAATTGGGCATTATCTCAAGATGAATATAACGGTGCCGGAGGATTACGTCACGGGGTTCATCCGAGCCAACAACACTTTCCTCTACCAGCTGGTATTCGACCCCATCCAAAGGAAGCTGGTCCCTCTGAACACATATGGCGATGACATTAACCCAGAAACCCTGAGCTACGCCGGGCGGTATCCTTTCTGAGCCACACGGTGGAATTCTTCTTAGGGTTACTGGTACTGGCACATTTTTTTAGTCAAAAAGAAAAACTTGGAAATTGGTCTTAATATTTTATCACAGATTGTTGTATTTTATACTCAACTTAAAAAAACCGTGCTGATGAAAAGTTGTGTTTTTGAATGTGAGCCTGAGGGACTTTCCCCACACCTCTCTGGAAAGGGAGGAATTGATTTGGGCTTCCCTTCGAAAAGACGGGCAGCTCCTGCAGGGACACAGGCCGACAGTGGATGGGATCTATGTACATCATAAAACCTTGAAGATTCTCTGTGGTAGTGGACAGCATTTTCATTAGTTCAGTGTGATTTGATGCCTTGTTAATAAGGTCATTCTCCTTAACCTTACCAATCCAGGTATGTCGATGATTCTATAGCTCTGCAAATAGCACTTGGAAACAAAGATATAGATACCTTTGAGCAGATTGACGACTACAGTCCAGACACTATGGTAACATTTTAAGAACTACTATAAAAGCACATTTTAGTTGTGTCTGTGTCTCAAGAGCTTTGAGGCAAGTCTTTGCTCAGCAGCTGTGAAGTATTCCTGTGCTCAGCTCTGTGCAGAGTGTACATGGAAAACAACACCTGATGTGGCAGACATCTGGAGTCCCAGGGTTTGTGACCCTGAAACAGGACAATTGCCGTTCAAGGTTAGCCTGGGCTATATAGTGAAACCTGTCTTTTTGTTTTAAGACAGAGTCTCACTGGCTGTCCTGAAACTCACTATGCAAGCCAGGATGGCCTCAGACTCACAGAGATCCACCTGCCTCTACCTCCTGGGTACTAGGATTAAAAGTGTGCCACCACATCTAGCCAATTCCTTTTAAAGAATGACTAACTTGATCCTAGAAAAATTATCTCTTGAAATGTAGACGTATTCGCTAGGTTTTTTTAAACTAAAAAGTTACTAGGTGATTTTTTTTTTTTTAAGACAAGCAGTTGTTATAAATGTATGGTGCATTCAGCTCCTTGTTTCTCGTTTTACACCATTTAGACTCTGAGTGTCCTGCTTTGTGTCTGAACTCTTCACTGCTGTCTTCATTATATGTACTCTTTACGATGCTGTGTCCTGGTAATTTGCACCATCTCTTCTGTTCATGTTTATTTCTTCCATAAATTCTTTTTGTTGCTTTTAGTTGCCTTAGCAACTTATAACCTACACAAAGTCAGTTCAACCACGCAATTAACCATTCATTCAGCATCGTTCCTGGGGAAATTACAGAATTACTCATTCAAACATATAAAGACAGCACAGACAGCAACATATAGATTGCCACCTCAGTAATGACACCCCAAACAAGATAAACATGTTCTGTGCACAAATGGTGCAACATTCTCAAAGAACAAAAGATTTATGGCAACTCCCAGAGATCCACCTGCCTCTGCCTCCTGAATGCTGAAATTAAAAGCATGCACCACTACCACCCGGCAAAAGCCAGATCTATATATATGGAAATGAGTTATACAACTAATTATTTGATCTAAATGTGATTTTCCTGGTCTGGTTTTCTTCTTGCACATTTCTTTTTCTCAGGAAGTGCATCTGTGGGGTTTAGTTCTAAAAGCCATGCTGCTGGGGCTGTTTTTCTCTTCTTACCCCTCGAGTTACCTTCCTCAGTAATTCTCAAGAATGTTTTGAATATTGTCTTTCTTACCTTTCTTTCCAGCAAAAGACCTAGATTTGGTTTCAGTATAGTTGGTCACATGATGTTCGTGCTTCAGGATTTTCTGTTTCATTTTTAGTTTTTTGAGACAGGGTCTCTGCATAGCCCTGGCTGTGCTAGAACTCACTACAGAGACCCAGCTGATCTTGAACTCAAAGAGATCCATCTGCCGCTGCCTCCCAGGGCTGGGATTAAAAGCTTGGGCCGCTGCCACCCAGCACATTTTCTGTGTCTTAACCTTTTGGTCTAAACTGCCTTTGTTTATTTGGAATATCATTGCCAACTTTTTAGCATATGGGAGTCCTCTGTATTGGTTTTAATGGTACTCTATCGATGGAACTGTTATCTTAATGAATATAAGCTGGCTTAAACCCTTTCTCAGAAGTTTTATACAAGATTCAGTGTATGCCAAAGCAGCTTTTGCCTTCTCAGTGTGGTACTGAGTGAGTCTGATACAAACTAATTCTTCTTAACCTCGATTGTTTTGGTTTGGATAATAGAACTTTCTGTCCAGGCTTGGGGACTCCTGGTTGTAATCCCTGAATGGGAAGTCTGAGGCATGGGAATCAGTTCAACTAGCTTAGACCTCAGGAGAACCCATCTCATATAAATAGTAAAAAGTGAACCTAAGTAAGCACACAAGTAAGGCACTAACTGCTTTGAACACAGGCCTCTGCAGTCCAGTGCTATTTGAAGGCTGCGGAAGTGACCGTCTGTCATGGTGTTGCTGCTGAAGTAGTGTCCAGGCTTTAGAGACACTTCCTCTGGGGTCACTTGCATTGCTCTTTTTAGGAAGATTGGGAATTGGTTTAGAAATGAGCCAGGGGTACTTTGACTCCCATAAGAAGATAGACCTGTGAACATAATACACGTTTAACTGAGAAGGGTGAGATTAAGTACAAAATTACTAGAGCACAGACTTCCTCTGGACCCTTTGCTTCCTGTCTTCCTTTCCTCCTTCCTCACTCTCCATTCCCCTCCCTCCTGATTCCCTCTAGGCCTCACACATGCTAGGCAAGCCACTCCACCCCTGAGCCCTGTTTAATTTGAAATAAAATAATAGTGCTCACTAAGTCACCCACACTGGGCCTGAACTAACTAGGTAGCCTGACCCTCCTGCTGCCTCGAACTCCTGGGTAGCTGGGGTTGCAGGCCTGCATCACCAGGCGGGGCTCAACGGCTCTTCTCTTGAATGGTAATTGAACATTACTATAAGATGTGGCAGGAAGTGGCCATTTCTGTGCAAGTAACCTTTTTCCTTGTTGCTTTCTAGCCTGTCCACTCAAGAAGTCATAGCTGGAATGACAAAGCGTGTCAGAAATCACCTGTTGCCAATAGCATTTGGCACAGGGATTATTGTCCTAGACGTGAGGTGAATGGTGTTTCCCGTGATCCTCAGTTGATGGAAAATACAAGTACTGTGGGCCTTAAACAAGTGATTAGTACTAAAGGGTTAAATCTTCCCAGGAAGTCTTCCATGGTGAAGAGACCAAGAAATGGTATGTATTTCATTTTTTCCAAATGCTGGTGGTTGTTAGGGGTCTCATTCTTGGGGTCATAGGCCACCAGCCTGAGAGGGAGGAGGGAGCGGCCATGGTGAGGGTAGGGTTCAGGCACCTGTGGCATCACTCATTAGATGCTCATGGAATGCTTCGTTTTTTGTTTGGCAGCACCAGCCTATCATACAGATGGGAGGACAACACCCATCATATGGGCAACTGGGGGAGAGCGTTTGCAGGGAATGGTGTCAAAGGTCACACCTAAGAGAAGTCAGGCATCCAGGCTCAGGGACAGCTTTCCAAATAGTCAGGCACAGAGTGTCTTGGGGAAGGGAATCTTGCATTTTGTGCTTGGCTCAGAGCTGTCGGACATGGTGGACTTCAGCCTTAAGTAGTGGGGCCTTCCAGTAGTTGGTCAGATTTAAGAAATCTTTTCCAAACCCAGGATGCAGTTTCTTTGATTTATTCTGTTAGTCTCAGTTATAGCTCTTACGTTTAGAGATACTGTAGATGGTGGACAGTAAGGCTCCAGGCTCCATAGTTTGTATATGGCAGCGTGGTTGTCCAGCACTGTTGGCCAAGGAGTTTCTGTTTTTCCATGTAATCACCTTGCAGCTGTTGGCAATCCCTTACCATGCAGTGCATCCGCTCAGGATACACAGAGAGACCCTGTCTCGAAAACATACACACACACCCTAAGTGCGAGGGATGGCTATGGAAAGTTAGTTAAATCTAATGTAGAGCAAGTGACATCTTAACAGTGAATGTCAAAGACTTTGGAGACCTCTATGTTCAATGTAGATATGTTAAATCAGTCATCAAATTCATCCTTATATTTTCAGGTTTTTGATCCTTTTGGAGATGGTTTTTCAGTTTTCTAGTTCATGCCAATATATAGAAATACAGCTGATTTATTTATTATTATTATTATCATTATCATTATTATTATTACTGTATGTGTGTGGGCATTCAGTTTTGCCACTGTGCACCATTTGGGTGAGAGAACAACTCTTTGTCTGTGTCTCTACCTTTCCAGCTTTGTGTGGGTCCTGGGGATTGAACTCAGTTCTTCAGGCTTGCACACTGAACAGCTAGCCACTGAGCCATCTGACCAGCCCAGTACAATTGATTTTTATGTTAATCTTGTAGTTGAAACCCCCAAACACTGAACTTAGTTCGATTCCTATTCCTTCAGACATTTTGAGGTTGCAGTTGTGACCCGAGGAAATTCCTCTTCAAGCTGCAGTCTCTCTTTGTGCTTTGTGTACAGTTGAGCTCCTTAGTGGTGGCTTGGCTGTGACAGTGGGTGTGGTGGCCAAGTGTGCACTGGTGATACTCAGGCCCTTCTCTAAGGCTGCTTTTACTGTTGCAAAGTCAGACTGATTACTTCTGGTAGTGAGTATACTTTGTCTCTGTTCTTGGCTAAGCTTTGGGTGAATTTCTCTAGTTGCTGTTAAAGCCAAAAAACAGTGACATTTTAAACTTCCATGTTGAAACTGTGGCTCCTGTGTCTATATTTGAGGTTATATTGTGTTTTTGTATAAAATATTTGAGTGAATTAGAGAAAGTAGGGATCTAGAGCCCCAGACCCTGTCTCTTAGGTCCTTGTCCCCAAGAGGTAACAGTGCTGACTGTCCAGTGGGATACCATGAGACATTAGGAGTCCCCAGCTAGCTGGGCTAACAACCTATTGTAATAAGTAAGTGAGCTTGCTCTGGCCTCTATTGCTGGAGTTCTTATGGTATTCATTTTCCTGTTCTTCTCCAAGAGCTCCTAGTGCCCTGCATAGTAAGCAGACTTCACTTTTACTAGGGATTAAGGTAAAGTTTACTGAGCTACAATTTTTAAAAACAGGTTTTTGTCTTTATAAATGAGTACTTTCTCTAGAATTTGAAATACCCAAACTAACCTACCACCTTTTAAATTTTATTTTTACATTTATTATTATTATTACTGGGGGAGGGGGGCCGACAGGTGTATGCCAAGGTGTGTAAATGGAGGTCAGAGGGCATCTTGCAGGAATCTTTTCTCCCTTCCTGTGGTAAATGTCCCAGGTGTCAAACCAGGTGGCCCAGGTTGATAGCAAGTATCTTTACCCACTAAGACCCACTAAGTTGTTTTGCTGGCCTTCCTGCCACCCTCTTACCAACTACATTTAGGCTTTGGTGGGGTAGAAACTGAGCAGACTTGAGAAGTAGCTACAGGACCTAGAGCACTGCAACACTTGTCCGTGGCACACATTTGACCTAGCGGCCCTCCTTGGTCTCGAGACTCAGTAATGAGGGTCCAGAGGGTAGGTAGCTGCTGGTTTTACTGGGGCCTTTCAGTCATCAATCATAGCTTCATAAGTTATAAGCTTCCCTCCAATGTTTTTCTGTCATGCCCTGAAATTTTGAGTAATTTCGTAGAAAATCATACAGATAATTTAATTAAATGTTAACTAATTTGCAAAATTGTAAAACAGCTAAGGTAATGTTTTTCAGTCTCTTTAAAAAAAAAAAAAAAAAGATTTGTTTATTATGTATACAGTGTTCTGTCTGCATGTATGCCTGCAGGCCAGAAGAGGGCACCAGATCTCATTACGAATGGTTGTGAGCCACCCTGTGGTTACTGGGAAATAATGTGTCCTTTTTCAAGGCATAGCTTTCAAAAAAACAAAATAGGACCAAGTGTATGGCTCCCTGTGAGCTCTTGGCCAGCGTGGCCTTAAGGACATCAGGGTGGGGGTGGGGGGTCTGGGGAGCTGTGAAATCCAGGGCAAGTAGCCAGCAGAAGAAGAAGCCCGTGTGTTTACATGTGCTTCTGTTTTTGTTTAGAAGCTCTGTCTGAAGATGACCTGTTGAGTCAGTATTCGTCATTTACAAAGAAGACCAAGAAAAATAGCTGTGGAGATAGCGCAGCTTCTAACTCTTCTGAAATGGCTGCACCCCACCTGGATGATGGGACTGCACACAAGACAGATGCACACACTCCATCTAGGACAAGGAACAAATTCGCAGTGTTTTTACAGAGGAAGAATGAGGAGAGTGGTGCAGTTGTAGTCCCGGGGACCAGAAGCAGGTATTGTGTCTCCAGAGCGCCTTTTAAGCTGGACGTAGCATTATTTGTTTCCTTAGTTGCCTTAATGTTTCAGTTACTTCATTCACTGTTGCTGTGACAAAAGTGCCTGGCAGGAAAAAAAAAAATAATGAAGGAAAGGGTTGTTTTTGGTCACATTCCAAGAGCAGAAGGCAGCTGGTCAATCACATTGCAGCCCCAGTCAGGAAGAGAAAAATTGAACACCCAGCTCTGTCTCCTTTGTATTGAGTCCAGAACTCTAGCCTGGAATTCTAGTGTGAGTCTTCACCTACCACAGCCCATCCAAAGGTGTGTCCCGAGGCTCCTTTCCTGGGTGACTCTGGTCCACGTGAACCACCACACCTTAGTTGAAACCTGAGTTGAGTGCGTTGTCGATCCCTCCCACACCATTAGTTCTGGGGTCTGTCCATGCAGAGTCAGAGTTCTGTTCTTAGGATTCTCTTTCTGTCTCCCATTGTTTCTCCTTTTATGGTATTTTGAGGAGCTGATTAATTATCTCTATTAATGTCAACACCTTTCCTATAAATATTTCTGTTTATCTTTTAGGATCTAGAAATACACTGATTAGCCTAGAAGAATGTAGACAAGGCATGTCTTAAACTTACAGAGATTCCCCCTGTCTCTGTCTCCCAAATGGAGGAATTTAAGAAGCCTGGGCTGTTTTCTACCTAAAGGTTCACCATATAAATAAGGATGTGCACTGAGGGGTGGTAGCACACACCTTTAATCCCAGCACTCTAGGCAGAGGCAGGCGGATCTCTTGAGTTTAAGACCAGCCTGGTCTATAAGAGGTAGTTCCAGGACAGCCTCCAAAGCCACAGAGAAACCTTGTCTCAAAAAAACCAAAAATAAATAAGGGTGTGCATGTTATCATGATAAAATTTACACCTCAGACAGGCATGGTGGCGAAAGTTTAATCCCAGCACTTGGGAGGCACAAGCAAGTGGAACTCTGAGTTTGAGGCCAGCCTGGTCTACATAGCAAGTTTCAGGGCAGATAATACTATGTAAAGAGATCCTGTCTCAAAAAACAAAACAAAACAACAACAAAAAAGTAGGATTAAAACGTCAATTAAAATTCAAGATCTTTGTCATCTTTTTGTAAGAAAGTAGATATTTGAATCTTGATTAAATGCTTAAAATGATCCATTCTTCCTGTTTCTTGTTAGGTTTTTTTGCAGTTCCCCAGATTTTGATGACTTTGTGCCAAAAAAAAGAAGCAGTCAGCCTCTAAATGAAACTACTGTTGAAGGCAAAGCCACTACCAGCCTCAGAGCCCCGGACTATCCAGGCACAGACAGCCTCCGAGTCCCGGAGTGTCCAGGCACAGACAGCCTCCGAGTCCCGGAGTGTCCAGACACAGCCGGCCTCCGAGCCCCGGACTGTCCAGGCACAGATGGCCAGAAGCTGGTTGACATAAGTGGGACAGAGGATCCAAGTGCTCAGATCCCAGACAGTGTGACTGTGTCTCCTGATGAGGATCCTCAGTCTTCTGAGACCAGTAAATTCACAGAGACCATTTCCCCACCCACTCTGGGGACACTTAGAAATTGTTTCAGTTGGGCAGGAACTCTTAAAGATTTTTCAAAAACTGCAAGACCTTCTCCAAGCACTGTGTTGCAGAAGTTCCGAAGACAGAGTGAGCCCCCCTCCTGTCTACCAGAGACCTGTGCCATGACTGGCACGTGTCATTCAAAGAGTGAGATGTCAAATTCTAAGTCTCTGCACTTGCATGAGGTGGACTGGTCCTCACAATCTCTGGAAAGTATAGACTCACAGTGCAGTTTAAATGCATCGAGCATTTCCCAGCCTTCCAGTAAGGAATCAGATTCAGAGGTGAGTCTCCATCTGCAATCTTGGCTTTCAGACTCAAACATGGGAAAAAATGATGTGTTAATGAGATACTTGAGGAAATTTTGCCAACATTGTAGGAATGAAATGGCTTTCTCAATTTTTATTTAAAATCTTCCTTTGTTTCTGGAACTGGAGAGATGCCTCAGTGGTTAAAAGCACTGGCTGCTCTTCCAGAGTACCTGGGTTCAGTTCCCAGCACCCAAATGGCAGCCTCTAACTGTAAGTCCAGTTCTGGCGGGAGGTCTGACATCCTCACACAGACATATATACAGGCAAAACATTAACAAACAAAATCCTCCTGTGTAAAAAGCTTGCATTTTTTCACTTGAGGGACCTCTCTTGTCTTTCATTCCTTCTACTCCTGGACACGTACCCTAGCGTTTTCCTGGAGGTCCCTCAAGTGAACCCGGGTGCTCCACTGACTGGGATTAGACAGTTGTATGCATAGTTGTCTTCTAATCAGTGATAGCCTATGAGATGAATTGACACTGTAAATTTACTATTAATATAACTTAACTCAGCTAGCATTTCATAGCACATTAAGGAATGACTATACTAATGTTTTCATATTTGCTGTATCTTAGCACTTCTGAAATAGTTTCATTTCTTTTTTTTAATTTCTGGTAAACTTCCCTTATAATAAAACAAAAGAGCAATTTTCTTTTTTTTTTTTTAATTTAAAAGCTTTAGTCCTTTCACATATATAAAACATTTTATTCTGACTTCAGTTTCTTTTTCCGTCTTTGATTTGGCTGACATCAAAACCTTAACTGAATATTGCTCATAAATCAGTTGAAAAATTTGAAATGATGTGCTGGCTTCATAGCTTTCTTTAAATCCGTTACCTCAAAGTTGCTAATTGTGCCTCATCTTCTAAGTCTGCCCCACTTGACGCTGTTCTGTGTTTTAGGAGCCCGTCAGCTGCCATTGCTGCCGTTGGGACTTCTGCCTTTCGTTTCTCTTTCTTGTCTTTTTTTTTTTTTTTTTTAAATTAGATTTATTTATCTTATGAGCAGATGTGTGTACATGTCTGTCTGTCTGGTGGCACATGCCCTGGGGCACAAGAGAGGATCTGAGCACAACCCATGGGAGTCATTTCTGTTCTGGGGTTGAGGTGGGTTGCCAGCCCCTGCCCACTCAGTGAGCCATCTCACCAGTTGCCCTTCTCTTGCATTGCCTTCAGCTGCTCCCTGTTTGATGCTGTCCTGTGCCCTAGAAATGGGTTTCATTTAATGTGAGCCTCTGCTACATGGAACGTTGTCTCCTAGGGCCATGTGAGTTACAGCTGCCAGCTCTCAACCATCTCCCACAGCCACATTGCTGTTGGAGGACATTGCAGGCCTGCCGAGCTTCTCCCCCCACCCTCATCCCTCCACACCCCCTCATTCCCGCAGCACATCTTTCTTTCTGTTTCGCTAACTTTGTAGGCTTTCAGCTGTTTCAGCTGAGTAACAAGGTCCTCATCAGCTCACCAGGCTGTGGGCAGCTCAAGCTGAGAGCCATTCTATTCTGTCTTTTGGGATAAACATCTTCCACCCTAAGGTGGTGTTGAAATAGGGACTTAGCCAGGTGTGAGGGTGCATGCCTGCAATTCTAGCACTAAGGAGGTCTGCCTAGACTAGATAGCAAGACCCTCTCTCACAAAACAAAGAAAAGGAAGGAAGGAGAAGGAAGGAAGGAAGGAAGGAAGGAAAAAGGAAGAAAGAAAGAGACTCCCAAAAAAACCAAGTGATGACTCATTCATTGAATGTCCTCTTGTCCCCACATACAGTAAAGCTCTTGCAAGAGAGTTGGCTAATGCTCAAAAGATTGAATTCATAGAGTTAAGCTGTTTCTGTTTTGTTTTTTATTTTACTGGCCTTTAGGCCTTGCTTTGAATATCTGATTTCACTGTGTACATCTGAAGTTCTTCGCTCTTGGAGCCTTTGGTGAAGTTCATTGTTAAAAGGTAGCAACTAGATCCGGCCATTCACCTAGCTGGAGTCTAATCATAAAAGTCTTGCCCATGGCCCTATTTATTGTAAGAAATTGTTTAGCCAGGCTGGGCGTGGGGCAGTTCTATGACCTCAAATGTTGAGGGTTGCACATTTGGCCACAGCCTAGGCTACATGTAAATTCCTGACCTTTAAGCTGTAGAGCAAGAGACCTTGTAAGGAAAAAAAAAAGGAAGGAAGAAAGAAAGAAAATTTAGCCAAATTGACCACTTACAACATTACTGTTAGCTATGGCAGAGAAATGTGAAGGTTTCAGTAAGGCATAAGACAATCTTGTCTCTCTGTTAAGTGTGTGATAACGGTATAGAATCCCAAGAGGAATACAGGAAACCTTAGAGAAATGCCAAGTGCTGTCCTCATTTCCTGCTCTTCCTATTGATGTGTGGGAATAAGTGCTGAGAGAAGTCTCACTGTGTGGAGTCTTGTGCAATGGAACTGAGGCAGAGGTGCTCTTCAAAAATCACTGCTGACGTTAAACGGGCATTTGCCCAGGCACCGCAGAGTAGGGCCCATCCGGAAGGTAGATGCTGCTTTTTCTTTGCAGTGGTAGCCATTTTACAATACAGCTAAGAGATCACAGAACTGCTGGCTCAGCTTCTGCAGTCAGTGACTTTTAAACTGTGGCCAAGGAAGAGTGAATCCCATTCAGTAGGAGACCCCAGAGGTTTCTGAGTCAGCATATTTAGAGTTTCATAAAATATGATCAGGTATACCCTTCCCTCCCTGTCTCCCTATATCCCATCCAGCACCTACTACTCCTAACTTCATGTTCTTTTGTGTAGCCCAATATTGTGTAATACAATAATCAGTGCTGCCCATATGTGCGTGGATATGGGACATGGGAAACCCACTCCTCTCTCAACAGCTATCACCTGTCAACAGCTGCTCAGTAGAGGCAGAGCTAAGGCCTGGAGATCATTTTGACCAGCTGTGTAGGAATTTCAGCTGCCTTGGTTTTGTATAGCTGTGTGAGTACGTGTGTGGTGTTGGTTTTGCAGTGGGTACATGTTCGTGGTAGCCATGCCCTGCCCAGAATACATTTCTCCTCTGGCTCTTTTTGCCTCCTCTTCTAAGACATGTCCTGACCCTTGGCAGGACTTGGGGGACTGGGGGGTTGAGAAAGATGTCCCATTTAGGACTAAGCACCATTTGCTCAGCACTTTGTGTATAAGCCTCTGTTTTATAGATTATTTCTTCAACCTAAACATTTTGGTACTTTCTTCAGTGCAATTGACAAACCTTTTCCATTTTAATTCATTTCCTATGTTTAATTCATTTTATTGCTTATGTTTTTATGTCTTTCATGAAATTATGTTATTTACCTGAGCTTCTCAGTTCAAACATTTGGTTGAATATTGATCGAGTTGTCATAAAAACTCAAGTAAGCCAGGTGTGGTGGTGCCCATACCTTTCCTTTAATCCTTTAATCCTAGCATTTGGAAGGCAGAGGCAGATGGCTAGCCTGATCTACAGAGAGAGTGGCAGGACAGCCAGAGCTGTTACACAGAGAAAACCTGTCCTAAAATACACACACTCAAATAAATTTTTGTTTTCCATCTGGGAAATCTAGGAATCGGATTGTAACAATAAGTCACTTGATATTCAAGGAAATCAGAACTCCAAGCAACAGTTACCTCCCTTTTCAAAGAAAAACACACTTGCAAAGAACAAGGTAAAACATTTAGAGTTTTTTTGTTTGTTTGCTTGTTTTTCAGAAGCAGTGTGTAATTATTGCCAGAAAACGAGAAATGCCAAAATAGCTGTTAAAATACCTGCATTCTGAATTTTTAAAAATCCTTGGTTTCTGCCAGGCAGTGGTGGTGCCATGCCTTTAATCCCAACACTCAGGAGGCAGAGGCAGATGGATCTCTGTGAGTTTGAGACCAGCCTAGACAGGCTCCAAAGCTACACAGAGAAACTCTGTCTTAAAAAACAAAACAAAAATGCTTTCTTTCAAACTTCTTTGGTCATCATTTGTGCTTAGCTATGAATGTTTACCCTGTTAGCTGGAACATTATTTTCTCTGTTTCTTAAAAAAAAATCTTTTCCATGTACATAGTAGTAAGTAATAATACATGATATAGAATCCAATTCATAATTTTTTACCATAAAATTTTTAATTAACTTGTGAAAATGAAGTCCATGGTGTGATTGACTATTCCTGGAGTGGGGATAATTTGCTGTATATTGCCAAAATACCTATTAAACCCATTGATTGAGAATAAGGCCACCACCACAATTTAAAGCCAAATTTGAAGCAAGCTTTAATTTAAAACTGGCTGGGTGGATGGACTCTGACCAAATCCATCTCTAGGTTTCTAGAAGATGGCCCAGAATCAAGTATTACAAGGCCTTAAAAGGAAAACCCATAGGTTAATTCATTTCCCATCAGGTCCAATCAGGGGCAAATACCCTCCCACAAGTGATCAAGCATATCTGGTGCTGGTGGATCTAACAAGCCTACTTAGGGGAATGAAAACACGTGGCTTGTTATGTCCCATAACCAATAGCCTCCAGCACTTCAGGAACTGTGGACCCAATCAGAGCTCTGGGTTTTGTTTAATTAATTGACTTTGATGCACACTCTGCAAGATTAATCAGTTTAAAGACTTATTCACACCCCTCCCTCTCTATTTAAAAAAAAAAAAAAAACTACAAAAAAACAGCCCTTAAAGGCTGGATGTGGTGGCTCACTCCTTTAAACCCAGCACTCAGGAGGCAGGCAAAGATAGGTGAATCCCTGTGAGTTGGAGGCCAGCCTGATCTACAGAGTGAGTTCCAGGACAGACTCCAGAGCAATACAGAGAAACCCTGTCTCAAAATATATACATACATACTTACATACATACATACATACATGCATGCATATGCCAGCACATGGGAGCAGAGGTAGGAGAAGCTCTGAATTCCAAGACAGCCAGGACTATATGGAGAGACTTAGTCACAAACAAAAAGATTAGCTCTTGAGTAGAAACAAAAATATCAAGATTTAAGTCAATTATGCTACCCTTGCACAGTGGTAGAGCAGACAGACTTAATCAAAAAACAATTCAGTTTCATATTGAAGTGCAAGTGATGAGACGTATCATTACGGACATCAAGGAGGACAAAATAATTAACTCTGTAACTCACTTAGTGGGTGCACCAAACCCCTTGAATGAGGTGAAGAGGAAGGGAGTAAGACTCGATATTTAACTGAAATTTTATGCCAAAAGTGTGTTGCCTGTTAAGACTGATTGTTTCTGTAGTAGACATCTTTAGAATTTTGCATTGCATATGGATATTTTTTCTATTCTGTTATATAAAAAACACTTGCGTGCTTTTAGAGCAAAAGGTTAAAACTGGCATTGGGGAGACCCACAATCCCATCTCTAACAAGCAAAATAACAGTACAACAATTCTAATTTATCTTCAGGTTCCTGGGCTGTGTAGATCTAGTTCTACAGACTCTCTTTCTACAACCAAGATCAAGCCCCTGATGCCTGCCAGAGTCAGTGGCCTGAGCAAGAAACTAGGAAGCATCCAGAAGAGAAAACACCATGATGCCGAGAACAAGCCGGGGCTGCAGATAAAAATCAGCGAACTCTGGAAAAACTTCGGGTTTAAAAAGTGAGTTCCCTGCCTCCCTTTCTGAGTGGGGACAGAATGCTGTCTCCTGTAGCTCCGCCCCCAGTCCTTGTGTTTTCCTGGGAATCAGTTTCTGTTGCTCTCCTTTAAGCTCTCTGTCCCACCTGGAAGTTTCATTGCTTCTCATTGCTCAGGACTGGAATAGAATAGTTAGGCAGGAGCTGAGAAGGGGTTCTGTATTGGTTAAGCGCTCACAGATGTAACCACACAAACCAGTGTTTGGGCCCCAGTAATGTTTTAGGACCGTGACAGGTTCTGGAATGCTGCATTGGGAACTGCTAAGTCAGCTTCCGGTGAGGCATCCACAGTGTGACTTCAGTGGCAGCTGTGAAGCCCCTATGTTTTGCAGTGTTCCCACTCAGACCAGCTGTACCTAGGACATTTGGCTTACTGAGAATTACAAGAAACCTAACTCTAAACTGGTGTTTCTCCAGCTGACGCTGAAATCTAATACAGGGAAAGTGTGCATTTGTTACAGACACTGCATGTCACGTCCACTGCAGAGCTGAAGGCAGGCTGCAGAAGGTTTCATTAAGAGCGCCTGCTGAGCCGGGAGTTGGTGGCGCACTCCTTCAATCCAGGCAGAGGCAGGTGGATCTCTGTGAGTTCAAGCCCAGCCTGATCTACAGAACGAGTTCCAGGACAGGCTCCAAAGCTACAGAGAAACCCTGTCTTAAAAAACCAAAAAACCAAAAAACAAACCTGCTGCTAGTTCAAAAGACCTAAGTTTGGTTCCCAGCGCCCCCAGCATTCACACAGGGCAACTCACAGCTGACTGTAACTAATTACATCTTTAGGGAGAGCTATTTCCTTTGTAGCTTCTTCAGGCTGCTGTTCTCACAAAGAAAAATGTTAATATTAAATACATTTAAAAGAACCATTGAGATAGCTCATCAATGATGCTCACCTCCAAGCCCACTGGTCTGAGTCTAATCCCAGGCCCCAGATGCTGGAAGGAGAGAATCAACACCAGTAAGCTGTGCTCTGACCTGCACACGCACCGTGTAGTGTTAAAAGGGTGCCAAACATGTAGATTGATTGGTAAGAAGTTCCTGACTCTGGGGCTGTGGATCTGGCTGAGTAGTTGAGAACACTTGTTCTGTGAGCATGAGGGCCTGCGTGTGAATCCCCCGGATCTACCTAAAAAATCCAGGCATGGCTGCCTAGTCTGTAGCCCCAGCATTTGGAGATGGAGACAGGCGGATCTCAGAGTCTAGCCTAAACACCCAAGCTTGGTTCAGGAAGAAATCAGACTGGCCTCAAACCTACAGAAATCCACCTGCTTCTGCCTTCCCATGGTGGGATTAAAGGCATGTGCACCACCATTGTTGTTCCAGGTTCACAGAGCCCCGGACCAACCAGAGGAGCCAGACAATGCCGATGCAGACACAAAGGTTTCTCTTGTTCAAGCTGGCCAGCTTGGATATCACCCCATGGCAGGGGAATGAGATGCCAACCGGCCATAAAGGGAAGCTTTTAAAGGGGAAGAACCACAAGGTTGAAGGCCATAAATTCTAGAGTTTCCATGGTTACTTAAGGTCATACAAAGTACAGAGTAAAGCAGTAACTATATATTTTAATCAAGATACATTTGAGAAAGATAAGACAGGGCATGGGGTTGCAGGGTTGTAGAGTTACAGGGTCACAGGGTCTGTCAGTTATCCCCTGGACTAAGGGATCCTTACACCATTAGGGAACCTTTATGACCAGCAATTAGTAGACATAAGCATGTTAAATGAGAGGGGGCTCAGGTGCCAGCCATGGCACTCCTGATTTAAGGAGTTAAATTTTCCTTTACCATTAGAAGTTCCCTTTCTCTGTATAGATTTAGGGCCCAAGTTTTTAAACTTTTAATAATTTTAATTTTTGGTCTATCACCATACCCATCTTAAACAGCTTTTCTCTTTTTTCTTTTTTGTTTTTGGAGACCTAAGTCTCACTGTGTAGCTCTGGTTGTCCTGGAACTCACTATGTAACCAGGCTAGTCCTGCCTCTGCCTCTGATGGGATTAAAAGTGTGGGCCACCATGACCTGCCATCACATACACTCCCACATGACCTGCCATCACATACACTCCCATGGCTGTCTGTTTGTTTTCACTGCAAGATCTATGGGGGAGAAAAGAACTTAATGGTGTTTAATATATGTTGAGAGGAGACAAAATGTTACAGTGTTATTTTCATAATTGGATTTTTCATAGGTGTGAAGTTCCTAGTCTCGAAGAAGGGAGTTTGTTTTTAAAAAAAAAAAAAAGCTGCTCATTGTTAGTTTTGCTGTTTGTGTTCATCCTTAGCCCAAGGCCAGTAAGGACACTGTTAAAATGCACACCTTTAATCCAACACTTGAGAGGCAGAGACAGGAGAATCTCTGAGTTCAAGGCCCAACTGGTCTACATAGCTGGCTCCAGGTCAGCCAGGGCTACACAACACAGTAAGACTGTATTAAAAACAAATTCTTCAGTGTATTCCTGAATCTGCTACTCTGTGTGTGTGTGTGTGTGTGTGTGTGTGTGTGTGTGTGTGTGTGTGCGCGTGCGCGCGCGTGCGCACCTGCATTGGAAGGTGATTTTGAAAGCAAGAAGAGGCTGGAAGAAGAAAACTTCAAATTCAAAACATTGGAAGCATTCAATAGGGACTGACAGATTACACAGGAAAGGGTCTATGTGCCCTCCCTGTTTTCTCCACTTAGGGTGTTGCTTCGCTTATGGTGCCTGAAAGTCAAATTTGTTTTCTTATATCTTTGCAGAGACTCTGAAAAGCTTGCTTCCTGTAAGAAGCCCCTGTCCCCAGTCAAGGATAACATCCAACTCACTCCAGAGTCAGAAGACGAGCTCTTTAACAAGCCCGAGTGTGCGCGTGCTCAGAGAGCAATATTCCCACTGAGTGAGGGCTGCTGCCTATAGGAAAACCTTACCGGTTCCAGAGAATGCATTTTGTATATTAATTTTGTGACTTTCTTTGCTCAGCTTTTTATATTGTCATAGAAAGCTAAATAGAAGAATAAATTTGCCTTTTATATTTCTGGGATTTCAGTGCTAATGGGGAAGTCTGAGGCAGATAACATCTAACGGAAATGGAAATAAAGACGCTTTATAAAGAAAGAAAAACATTACACACCAAAATTAACCAGAGCCAAACTGTACAACGTAATGAACTTCAATATGGTTAGAATTGGCATTGTGTGTGTGTGTGTATTTTAATGTGTATATGTATGCTTGTGCATGTGAGGACAAAGCCTGTGGGAGTCCAGAAGAGGGTACCAGATCTTCTAGAGTTGGAGTTACAGATGTTTGTGAGCCACCAGTGTGGTTAGTGGAAATAGAATCCAGGTCCTCGAACAGCATGTGCTTGCTCTGTAGACCAGGCTGGCCTCGAACTCACAGAGATCGGAATGCCTCTGCCTCCTGAGTGCTAGGATTAAAGGACACTCAGCTGCTACAGCATGTGCTCTTAACCAATGTACCATTTCTCTGCTAACCCCCACCTCATTGTCCAGTTTTTTATTTGTTGTTTGGATTGTTTTGTTTTGGTGTTTTGAGACAGGGTCTCCCTATGTGTTACTGGCTGCCCTAGAACTCACCATGTAGACCAGTCTGTCCTCAAACTCACAGAAATCTGCCTGCCTCTGCCTCCCAACTGCTGGGGCTAAAGGTGTGTCCCCATTGTCCAATTTTTATTGTCAGTGGAAGAATGAATTGATTCAAGGCTTCCTCCATCCTAAGGAGAGGTAAGGGAACCCAGTATTTTTTGTTTTGGTTTGGTTTTGCGAGACAGGTTTTCTCTGTATAGCCCTGGTCTTTCTGGAATTCACCCTGTAGACCAGACTGGCCTTGAACTCAGATTCATCTGACTGCCTCTGCCTCCCCAAAGTGATGTGATTAAAGGCATGTGTCACCACCACCTGGCAGGATTTTTGTTTTTTAAGTGAAAAAAATAACTACTCAACCACAATGACTATTCTAGAATGTCCACAAGGGGGCAGCACCTTCATGCTGTTTGGGCCTGAAGTGTGAATTTCTTGGAAAAAGCTCCTCATACAATGAAGCTCCATTTTTCATAATCGTGTAACACAAAAGTATCCAGTCCTCTATCAGAAGATTCTCTTTTAAAATGAAGATTTGTTTTCTGTGACTTTAAAGATCTCTTAAAACGGTCTTAGTTTTTGAAACCCAAATGTGATTTGAGCATGTGATTTTCTTCTAGACATACACTGATCAACATGCCATACATGATTTGCTTAATTAAAAAAATAACATTTATTACTGAGTATTCAAATGCTTCATTGATTAGAGCAGTACCGAATTTTGAAATGAATAGTAGTGAATTATTCCCCTCCCCCTCCTCAGGGGTCATGACTCACAAGGTTACAGAGAGAAACCCTGTGTGGGAGGAAAAGAAAGAGGTGTGGGGTCCTCGCCTCGAAGTCCCAGCACCAAGCCCTCACCTGACTGGGGACTGCATGGGGTCTGGCTCATCCCAGGAGATAAAAGAAGAGAGTGATGACAGCCTCTGCTTCGCCTTGCTGCCTCTCCTGTTACTGTCTCACAGCCAAGGCTTCAGAGCTCTCTGGGAGAGCTGGAGAGTTCTGAAACTTCCTAAGACTCCTGGATGGAGTCCTGGAATCCAGGTCATGGATCAGAACATGGTTTGAAGTCTCAGCTGCTCTGTCCATTCATATCGCAGGTGTCCCTTTCAACTCCAATAACCCATCTTTGACTTAGTTCAGGCAGTGGCTGGAACAGCAGAGAGGGCCCAGAGCAGGAAACGGCAAGGGTATCAGGTAGGAAGAGGTGAGTAGTGAAGACCACAGGGTAGGGGGGAAGGAGGGATGATGCTAAACCACAGCTGGAGTGTCCTGCCCTGTGATGGACTAAGCAAGGCCCTTTGAGCTCTCGGTTGGTGGCCTAGCTTCCCCTGAGGGACCTGGGGGTGCCCTGAGGCTGCTGCACTTTGGGGGCCCCTTTGTCTCTGAGATCAGTGACATCTCAAAGAGGGATCATTTTTCTAGTACCAGCCTCTTGTTCAGCATCTCCCCTTTAAAAAAAAATTTGTGTGTGTGTGTGTATATATATATATATATATATATATATATATATATATATATTTATTTATTACACACATTGTTGTCTTGCTTGAATGTATGTCCATTTGAGGATGTTGGGTTCCCTAAAGCTGAAGTTGCAGACAGTTGTGAGCTGTCATGTGGGTGCTGGGAATTGAATCCTGATCCTCTGGAAGAGCAGTTAGTGCCCTTAACCACTGAGCCATCTCTCCAGCTCCCCAGCATCTCAGAGGCACTGCCTGTTGTCTTCTGACAGGCCATTTCATCTTCAGAACATCTTTTTGTTCTGGAACTGACTTCCCTGGGCTGTGTTTCTTCTGCAGTCAGCCTCTTCTCCCAAATACAGGTTTTCTCTTGGGTCAGTTTCTTGTGCACTGCAGTCTTTTGCAAAGCAAGGGATTTCTCAGAGATGTGGATCTTCTAGCATGGTCTCCTTGATAGTGAGCCCTTCTTCCCTTGGCTCCTGGCTCTCTCATCACCATTCCCCCTGTACCCAAGAGCCACGCTGCTCCTGGCTCTTTGTCTGGTGAGTCAAGAGCTTCAGTTCTTGGCCTCAAGGGACTGCTGCGTGGCCTGCTCAGGGCCAGACTTGCAGCCTCTCTTGTACCGAGGCCTGGGCAACCTCTACCACTGGATGCCTCTTTCTTTGCTTCTGTCCCTGTTATGTCCCCAATTTGGCTGGGCCATCTCTGGAAACTGAGGTTAGTAACTCAAACACTCTGCTTCTTCCGTGTTTCAGTCAGAAGATAGGACCTGGTGTGGGTAGGGAACAGGAGTGAGAGCCTGACCATTGGAGAGGTGGCAAGAAGGGGTGATAAACTCTGACCCTGACCCTCTTCCCTTGTGTCACCACTACTTAAGATTCATTCATATCCACTCTACACATTGGGTTTCCAAGGTGTCACTTAAAGCCCCTAGGCTTTGCTGAGTCACAAATCCCTGTGAACTATGATTATTGATTGGGGCTGAGAAAGGAACCAATAATCATAGCTTATAGAAACAGGTTCTGTGCTGGACATGACAGTGTGGATCTATGTGAGGCATCCATCAGAGAAGACTACTTGGACAAGGATTTGAGCCAACAGAAAGCCTTTATTAGTCAGCTGGCCACTCCACTGGGATCCCAGGGTAGCACTAAGCCTTTCTCAGGGTGAACCTGAGTTCACAAACCCATACTTTGGGTTGACACACCAGTTGACAAGAACAGTTAGCCAGAACTGGAACTCCAGAAGCCACAAACCTAGGTTAGTACCAAAGTTAGTACTGTTAGAGACTTTCCCAGAACTGTGGACTTTTAATGGATTAGGTCTACATTTCAGTTTTGACAGGTAGTGCTGTCTACCTGTTTAGTTTTACAGCTTGTATGGTATTTCCATCATGGAGCCAGTTGTGCAAAGGTCAGAGGACCTGCTAAGGTATGAGACTTCGTTGCAATCAAAAGGAGTGAGTATAACAGCCGCTGTCCCTTATAGCCCATTGGATGTGCTCCACCTGTGGCCTTCTGGCTGCCTGTGAATAAGGATAGCTATGAAGGCAGCCAACACAAAAGTACAAACCTCAGACTGTAATTTTAAAAGTAGTGTGCGAGAGAAAGATGCCATGTGGCAGAGTTCATGTGGAGGGTTTTTTATTCGGTGAAAGGGATCATAAAAATGGAGAAGGGGAGTGGGGAGACCAGCCTCTGGGGGCAGGAGCAGCGGGGGAGAGAGGAAAGAGACACAGAGAGGGAGAGGGATAGAGAAAGGGAGAGAAAGAGGAAGGTAGGAGGTGGGCAGGGCCCTTTTAAAAGGGAACATAGTGAATGTGCACAGGTGGTGCTCTTAGTGGCTGCAGGTGAGGGCGTGTCCTGTCAGAACCCCAAGGACAGGCCAGTACAGATGCCTGAATACTAACACAACTATGAGATTTTCTTTGGGTTGTCTTTCCTGTAACTCTTTTGGGTAGTTGGTAGGTAACAATGACCTGTACCAGTATCAAAGGTTGGACACATCTGTGTGAGAAGTGTTCAAGTTTTGTCAAAGGGCTCAGCAGATAAGGGCTCCTGTCACCAAGCCTGAGGGCCCGAGTTACATTCTGGAAATCCACAAGTGGAAGGAGAGGAATGAATGACTCCTGCAAGTTGCACTCTGACCTCCATACATGCACCACAGCATACATGTGCGTGCACATACCCATGCAATAACTAAGTGGGAGAAAAACTCTAAATAGCTAATTAGTAAGAGATCCAGAAGAGCTCAAGGCTGTCCGATACTATTCTATACTCTAACCAGCTGTGTGTTTCTGGGACTAGGTAGCAGTTACAGGTTTGAGTCAGCCCTGGGGACACACACTGAACAAAAACAAAACAAACAAAAAAACATTCCAGGGGTCACCTTTCAGTCCACGGAGGTCTCATGGGCTCCTTCCCAACCTTGGGATCTGGGGATGAGAAGGCAGAATGGGTGTGGTCCTCACCTGTATGTGTTTTCTTTATCTCTCTACATACCCCCAGAGGCACACTCCAGACTAACTGTGACATTGAAAGTAGTCCAGCCCTTGGGGGTAAAACACTGGAGAGGAAAGTCAGGCTTTGTGGACATCCTTCCTAACTGCATGATTCTGAGAGCAGGAGGGCCTCAAAGACCTTTGCAGTTGTTATTGCTAAATTCACAGCAAATAGTCCATTATAGTTTCAAGCCTTGTTCATCTTTGGCTGGCTTGAGCAGGCTCTGGAATACTGACTGGCCCAGAAAAAAAGGTACTATAGTTAACTTAGTGGGGACACTTCATTTATTGCTTCAGACATGCTTTCAGGAACTCATAAGGGTTAAAAGAACGTCTAATTTTTGATTATCCTCCTTGTGGCACACACCTTTGATCCCAGCACTTAAGAGGCAGAGGTGTGAGGATCTATATCTGTGACTTAGGGACGGTCTACAGAGCTAGTTCCTGGACTGCCAAGGCTACACAGAGAAACCCTGTCTGGGAAGAAAAACAGACAAATAAAATGTCTCAATATGTAGCCCAGGCTGTCCTTCAATTCACAGTCCTCTCAGCTCAGCCTCCGAAATATGGGATTCCAGGATTGAATAAAATTTTAGTCTATGGCTGAGCTGATGGTAGAAATAAAAGTGAGAATATTTCCCATGCTAGTGTGCCTGTTTATTTATGTGCAATAAAGGACTCTAAGTGAACTGTGAGAGAAGTCTAAGTTTGTAGGCCAGATTAGACTTCCTGAGGGAGATGCCTCCATGGGTAAATGTCCTTGCCTCCAGCGATGGCTGAAGTTCAATCTTTGAAACCCACAGTAGAGGAAGACAACCAGCTCTTGAGAGTTGTCTTCTGACCTTCATATATGCATAGTGGTACAGGCATGCTTTCCCATGATAACCAACGATAAGTTCAAAAATTGACTTTCGAAGGGATTGGGGAGCATTTGGGGTGGTGGGAAGTATGACAGACGGAAGAACTAAAACCAAGTCATGCGCAGAGACAAGAGTGGGGCTTGCAAGTGGTCTGGACCTGAGAGTCAGGTTGAGACAATTAGGCTTTTTGTTGAATTTATACACAAACACACACACATGCTTTTTCCAGACAGGGTTCCCTGTGTAGACCTGGCTGCCCTGGAACTAGCTCTGTAGACCAAGCTGGCCTCAAACTACAGAGATCCAACTATCTCTACCTCAAGAGTGCTGAAATCAAAGGAATATGCCATCGCTTCCCCTGGGGAGTTTATATTTTGAGATAGGACCACTTAGTACCCAGGTTTGTCTCAAATTTACTAAGTAATGGAGGCTGGTCTTGAACTCCTGATCCTTCTGCTTCTACCTCCCAAGTGCTGCAATTACAGGCATGTGTCTCTGTTTGCTTTTCATTCTATGATACAGCCTTGATACAGACCTGGAACTCAACTATGCAGCAGCTAAGGCTGACAACAATCAGATCACAAGCACGTGTCAAAAGCTCTACCTGAACTTTCCTTTTTCTTTCTTTCTTTCTTTCTTTCTTTCTTTCTTTCTTTCTTTTCTTTTCTTTTTTTTTTTTTTAAAGCAGAGTCTCAGCATATACTCCCAGGCTGTCCTGATACTGCACACTGGTGATCAGCTCAACTTTCACTGGGTGTGGTGGTACACACCTTTAATCCCATTACCTGGGAAGGAGAGACCAGTGACTATCAGCCTGTTCTAAAAAGGTCCAGTAAAATCTCACCTCAAAAACAAACTAAACAAACTCAATATCCTCTTGCCTCTACCCCTTGAATGCCAGAATTATAGGCATGTGCCATACCAAGCTTATACTTTTTTCTAAAGATGAGATAAAGGTTTTGGGCATTTTAAGGTGGAATACAGCACAGCCAGATTTTAAGGTTAGAGATTAGTTTTTGATTTGTTTTGTTTGCTTTGTCCAAGGCAGGGGGCGTGTGCTACCACTGCCCGGCTAGAGATAAGTTTTAAGGTGTATCTTGAAAACTTCAAAGGGCAAAAGCAAGATAATCAGCACTTCTTTTTTCCAGAGAAACCCACCGGCCTGTAGGGAGCTATAGGAGATTTACAGGTAGCCCAGTTGGGAATCATGATAAGGCATAGAGGGAAGGGAGAGAGAGACATCTCCAGAGACTCACTGGGCTGGAAAGAAATCTAGGCTGTGGTGGGAGTGCAGACCTCCAGGATGGCATCTACCCTCTTCCTGTGCCAGCTCTGTAACAAGCCTCTGAAACTCTCACAGACGCTCTGTGCACTGCAGGAGGAGCACTTGGAAGCCCAGCATTGTGCCAGCCCCTCCACAAAGATGACAGTTTCTGAGGAGGAGCTACGGGCCAGGACTTACAGCACACCCCTTCCTGGCCATGGCAGGACATTGCAGGAACGAGCCTGCTGCACCTTCACTCTGCTTGGTGGGTCTGTCGCCCTGAGAACTTTGGACAGTATCCAAAATACTACCCTAGAGATCTCTGAAATCGTCTCTGGCCAGAAGGTCGTGGAGCACCCGCTTTGTGTGGACTGCGTGGACAATCTTCTGACGCAACTAGATGCCCAGATCACTCTAGTTGAATCTGACACCCAGAAGTATAGGAGTTTCCTGGAGAGAGAATCGCTGGTGAGTAAGAAGGAGAGGGAGGCCATGCACCTGGAGCTCTGTGCGGAACTTCGGAGTCTGGAGCAGGAAGAAGCAAGGCTGGCTCAGGAGCTGAAGGACATAGACCACCATCATGCGAGAATAGCCGCCGAACTCAGAGCAGCCCAGGCGGAGAGCAAGGAGCTGAATCAACAGAATGAGCAGGTCTTAATGGAGTACTCTGCCTTGAAAATGGAACAGCTGGAGCTGACGGACCAGCTGAGCAGTGTGGAGAACCGACTGGAGTATGCCCAGAGGCAGCTGCGGCGCCTAAGAAAGACCAGTATTTTCAACATCACCTTTACAATCTTGGATGAGGGTCCCTTGGGCATTATCAACAACTTCAGGCTGGGCTGCCTCCCTGGCATCCAGGTGGGATGGGATGAGATCAACGCCGCTTGGGGACAGACAGCCTTACTGCTCTTCACCTTGGCTAAGACAGTCGGACTGCAGTTCCAGAGGTACCAACTAGTTCCCCGTGGGGGCCATTCCTACCTCAGATCCTTGGCTGGTGATGGGGAGCTGCTGTTGTTCTCGGATGGGAGCCACAGCGTCTTCTTGAATAACAAGTTTGACCGTGGGGTGAAGGCCTTCCTGGACTGCCTGCAGCAGTTTGTGGATGAGGTTGAGAAGAAGGGATGTCCCTTCCTGCCCTACAGGATCCATGTGAATGAAGGTATGATGGAGGATGCCAGGGGCAGTGGGGAGTGCTACTCCATCAGGACCCATCTGAACACAGAGGAGGAGTGGGCAAAGGCTCTTAAATTCATGCTTACCAACTTAAAGTTGATTCTTGCTTGGGCTTCGTTAAGGTATCGTTGTAGGAAGGAACCAAACTGAAGCCATTTTGAATAAAACTTTCATTTTGAGTAGGGGTCAAATGAAGTTTAATTCTCAAGACCTCCCTAGGTAAATGACATCCTGCTTGGCAGAGAGAGATGTGTGTGGGTAACTGGTATCCTGGTTTCAAGTTGAGACATGAATGGAGGGCAAGCTGCCCGGCCACACTTGAGTAAACCGGCCAATGAGAACATGAAAAGTGCACCATACAGATAAATGTTCCCAGGGAAGTCCTTGTCCCCGAATCCTGATTGGTGGAGAAATGTAACTAACTTGGCCCAGATGCTGTAGTTTTCAGGCTTAAAAGCTATGTCCTGGCTTGGGGTACACTTCAGCTCCCATCTGTTCTGCATCTCTGATCAGTAACTGCTTGATTACAATAGCTTTCTTTCTGCATTAACTTGGTGTGTGAGTTGTGTTGGCTCTAAGTGGACCCTATAACATTGTCAAAAGTAACTTATTTTCTAAAATAATAGGAAAATAAGATGGTGCATCTCAAGAATGCAACAGGTTTGTGATTCAAAGGTACCATTTTATCTTTTGACAGAGGTTCTCCATAGCTCAGGTTGACCTTAAGATGAACCAATCAGGAATGAGTTTTAATTGACCACTGGCACCATTATGTGTATTTGCTCAGAGTGACCCAGATGTCACCGCTGAGTTCCTATGTGTCTCTTTTCCTTATTTGTATCCTTTTCTCGAGTTCATTTGCACCCAGGCATTCAAAATAATAGGGAGGAGGAACAACACAAAGACATAAGATCACTCCTTCATTGAAAAGTGATAAAGATGAGGATGGGATTGGCTGGAGATGATGGGAGCCAGAGTAGTGGGGTAAAAAAGCTGAGGTTTGAACTTCCTGAGAAAAATGGTGTGTGGGCCTTGGAGGGTGGGGGGTGGGGCAGTCGTCATAGGATCAGACTTCAGGGATTATGAGTTTTTTGTTTTAATGCATCTCTTAGACAATTTCAATAAATGTTTACATTTCCTTAAATGCTTCCAAGTGTGTCCTCTTTGAAGGTGGATTGCCTAGAGCTGACCTGACATTCAATATTGCCATGCTGCAGCCTCTACCGTGCTGGAATTTATGTGCCTCTACAACTGAGGGGTGTCTCTTTTTCAGAGACATGGTCTATATGGCTAGCTCTTGCTAGTCTGCAACTCTATAGATCAGGCATGTTGCCTAGCTTACAGAGATCTGCCTGCTTGCCTCTGCCTCCTGAGTGCTGGGATTAAAAGTGTGTGCCACCACACCCAAGACTTCTTTTTGTTTAAAATTAGCTTTGAAGGCTGAGGTTATAGCTTAGTCATGCTTTTGCCCAGCATACATGAGGTTCTGGGTTTGGTTCAACTCTTGTTAAAGCAAACACTTTGCATGATATGGCTGTGCAATTTCAGTGACAGGAATGTCTGGGAATGAGCTAGAACTTTGTAATCAGTTACCTGGTGTCAAATCAGGTTCACTATGTGCTTAGTTAACTACAACAAAGCAATCTTCGAAAGTGGGATGTAGAAGTGAGAGGGGATCCTGAGAAAGCTCCAGGATGGAAAGGGACCAGTGAGAATGCCACTCGTTTCCTGGGAGAAGTAACTCTGTACCATTTTGTTCATCTGTAAATCGGGGACAGGTGTACATACTCCAAAGCATTATTGAGATGACTACGGAATCAAACAAATAGTAAAGTATTCCTACGACTTCATTTTCCCGATTTTAATGTTTACATCTCACATAATGGAATTAACTCGTCTAAAATTGCTTACACAGGGAATTTGTTTTTTTAGGCAGAATCTATGTAAACAGCCCTAGCTGTCCCGGAACTCGCTCTGTAGAACAGGCTGGCCTTGAACTCAGACATCCACCTGCCCCTGCTTCAGTTCTGGGATTAAAGGCGTGTGCTGCCACACCTGGCTTGTTGATTCAGAGAATGTAAGTTGAACAGTAAGTTGCTCCAGCTGACCTTGAACTCACTATGTAGCCCAAGGCTGGAAGTTCCCGATCCTGCTGCCTCAGCGTCTCCTGAAAGATTACAGGCAAGCGCCTGCTGAGGGCTGTCTGAAGAAGATTCTAGCGGTCCAAGTGCTTCATCAGGTGCTGGAGGCTGTGCATCCCCTGTTAGCCGCTCCGGGATGAATTCATATTCATAAGGGCTTATCTTTAGACACAAGCATCCTGTAAAGATAAAGTCATCCACATTTGGGGAAGAACTTATTTCAGCGGCCAGAGATTCTCTGCTTTTTATCTCGGCCTTTACTTCACTTATTGTAGTCTTGGACCCTCACTCCGCAGCCTGTGCCCCTTAATTCACCAGCAAGCGCCCCTTTGGATGACGTCACGGCGAGCGCCGGTTACCATAGCAGCACCAGGAGCTAGCGAGAACACCCAGTTTTTTTTTTTTTTTTTTTTTTTTCCGAGAACTCGCTAGCGTTCATAAGGAGCTGCATTTACTTTTCTGTTTAGCCCCTGTTTTACGGGTTGCCATTGTAGCGAAACATTATGGTGACCGAAAAAGCAAGTTTTTGGGGAAAGGGTTTATTTGTTTACACTTCGGAGATCACTGAGGGACGTCAGGACAGGGACCTGGAGGCACGAGCTGATGCAGAAACCAAGGGAGTGCTGCTTACCGGCTTCTCATGGCTTGCTCATCCAGCCCAGGGATGGATGGCCCCACCCACAATGGGCTGCTGTACAAATTTGCCCACAGCCCAATCTTTTGGAGACACTTTCTCAATTAAGGCACCTTCTCTGATGATTCTAGCTTTTGTCAAGTTCAACCAGCAACTCCCCCATCCCAACATTAATAGTTATACTCAACTTGGCTAGAGATGATCTTTATGAAGTTTATGTAAAGCCACCAAATTCTTTAAAAATCGAGGTTTTAGTGGCCACAGTCTGGCGCTCCTAAACGTAAAGGTCGTTTCCGCCCTCTAGTGGTATATGTCATTCTGACAGCCATTAGAGGAGACCTGTTTGGGTTTTGAAGTGGCTGGCAGGGGGGAGCTACATTTGTTTGATGCTGGTTTTACTTGGGAGGAAAGACCAAGTGACTAGATAACTTTGAATTGGAGGGTGCAAATCTCATGTAGCCTGTTTATGTTTTCCTGCTTTGAATCTAGGTAGGGTTTATTTTTGTATATGAAGAAAATAACACAGATTGAATAGTCAGACTTGCAGCAGAGACCCTTCTTTTGGACCCAGGACCATCTGATGCCCAAACCCCTGCTCTCCCCAGGACAGCATGCTGAAGATAATGTGCTTCACATGTGGCCTGAACTCGAGATGGGTCAGGATGGACAGGGACAAAGCATCCTGGTAGTTCTTTCTCAAGGCAACTGCCAACTCTAAAGGCTGCAGGAACCCTCTGAGAGTCTTGAGAAACCAGAGGTTTAGGAAGCAGTTCTAAGAAAGACTCTTGGGTATTCTACATCCTGTCAAGCTCTGAGATGATGCTGATGGTGTGTTGGCTTGCTGATCAAACATGGAGTCATGAGTGGACACTAGACCAGTTCTTCTTAGCAGTTACTTCTTAGTCTTTACTAAGAGTACACTTGACAATGTTGAGAGACAGTTTGATATCACAATAAGGGTGCAGCATGTGTGCCCTCAACTAAGTACAGTCCATGGGTGTTATAAAACATTTCACCACCAAGCATTATTTGCTCAGTCTCTTATGTAAAAACTTGGAATCTCTACCCTAAATTGGGTGTCGTGGTCTTCAAATCTGACCGCTATAAGCCCAGCTCTTACCTGAAAGCAGTTTTGGATACAGGGACCACTGGTTTCTCCCACCAATGAAAGTAAACAATACACTTAGAAACCTTATACACTTATTTTGGGAGTAAAGAAGGATGAAGAGGCTTGGAGGACATTTTGTGATAGCAGGATCACAACTAAGAATGCTTTTGGATCCATGAGGAGGTTTTTATGTATACCACCATTGAACTCCAGGAAAAGCCTTTCAAAACAATAAGTTCAGTGGACTTGACAAAGCTCTTGTCTTCCAAGAGTGGCTTTTTCAGGGAAATGAAACCTAGCATCTTATATGTGTTAGATAAGCACTCTACCACCGAACTTCCAGAACATCCTTCCCCAGGGATATCTTGGTATTAGAACTCTCACAGTAAATATAGAGAAGGGACCAACAAATGTTTTCCTTCAAGAGTTAGATAGGACTTTAGGTCATGCAAGTTTTGCAGTCTCTGCTGCAGCTGCTCAACTCTGCCATCACCAAACAAAAGCACTCAAGAGACAGCAATCAGTGAGCACACGAACAGCCCAACAGCATCTAATTCATAAACAGGCCTAGATCAGATGGCCCACTCCCTATGTTGTACCCAACCTTCTTGGGTGCCATGATAAACTCCATAAAATAGTTCTGCTCCATGATCATAAAGGGTTTTCATGTTAGTGTGGTGCTGACATGGACTCATAGTCTCAACAAACTCAGATGTCGATGAAGAGAGAGACCAGTCAGAACACACGGACAATTGCTTGTGCATTTGGCAAAATGTCAGGACCTGAGCACCCTCTTCTGTTACCCAAGTTTATCCTGGCTGCTCAAAAACAAAACAAAAATTCATGTGTAATAATACTGTGAGAATACATAGTGCAGATCAAGATCCAGGCTGGGCAGGGCTATGCAGGGAAACCCTGTCTGGGAAAAAAAAGAAAGAAAGAAAGAAAGAAAAGAAAAGAAAGCACAACAAAACCCTAAATGAAAAAATTCACTTTATGATCAGAGGGAATGATGGAATTATCTTTAGAACACACAACTTACAACAAGGTAGTTACTCAGCTAAAAGTAAATTTAACAGAAAAATCACAACCTAGATGCAAAGGAATAATAGCATACACATTGCCTATTAGTTCCAGTTATATGAGTGGCTATATCTAGACTGAAAATGGTCTGAATCTATCTCCAATAGACAGGTAAGCTCCTGCCATGGCTTCAGGAATCACATGTTCTCTAGCTGTTACTTTGAAGGATGCCTCAATATGGAAT